TTATAACACATGTTTCTGTGGCATAAACCAGTTCGTCCCAACGACTACTCGAGTTGTTGAAAGAGGTTCAATAATGGATCTTATACCGCTCACTAATATACCCCACCCCCCTCATGCGATGCCAGTCAACTCATAAGTGCTTTTGTTTGCACATGTATTATATACACGAGAATACCATGTGCGCTTTCTCGCATATGGGGTCGGCGAAATTCGAAAAAGAAGAGTTCTCGGTCAGAGAAGGCTTCTGATACGAGTTGGTCCCAATAACTCGAGTTGTTGGGAGAGATTCAATAATAGATCTTATATCATTCACTAACCATTTGTAATTGGCGTTTGAAATAATCATAATCGTGACCTCTATGTGTACGTTTGCCATTGGACAATATTTAATGAGAGAAACTTGATGGTCATAGATGAAGTAATTGATGGGTAATCATGAGTTGTAGTATGTAAGGTTGGAGTTGTAGTCCTACTACTGAAAAGTAAAACAACTATAATTGAAAAAAAAAAGCAATGACTACAATTATGATTGCGTTCGAATGTAGTCCTAAAACTGCAAAAGTCAACGATTACAACAACAAATATAATTACTACAATTATGACTGTATTACTAAAACTCATGTTTAACATGCTAAACCCTTTATGGTTAGCATGCTAACCTATTGTTTCGTTAACTTATTCAAACTGTAGTGGTACATTTGTTAAATGTTAAAAGTACAATGATCACTTTGTCAATAACTTCAAACTTCATTGGCTATCAATGTAATTGACCCCCAGAGACTCCCTGGCCTATGTTCTGCCACACAAACCACTCCTTCCCATCTTTTCTTCCACTACCAATCACCTCCCGCCACGTATAAGCCCTGCCACTTCATTGGTCAACCCTTCATTTCCCTCTCGATCTCCTCCACGCTGTCAGCCACCCAAAGTGCTCACGTCGCTGCCCTCGTGTCACCACCCGCCAGCGTGGAATCCCTGTCTCCCCGCCGTTGCCTGATTGCCGCTAAAATATCAATTCAGAATCATAATCTCTCTTTAACCCATATTTAGCTCCTCTAATTATCAATTAAAGTTGGTATCAACGAGGCTAATTATTAATTAATTAATTAAACTTTCCTTAGAAATTAATAAATTCCAAAAACAAAAAATGAAGATCTGGAGACGGAGATTTCGACCCCACCTAGCGGTATCAACGAGGCTTCAGGGCGTAAATTGCCAGCCGTATATTCCCAGTCCACGGTCAACCGTCCGATCATTCCTATCCAACGGTGAAGATCTCCCCTTTCTCCAAGTCATGTATAAAAAATGCCAATAGGACTGAACCCCACATCAGCTTCTCCCTCACTTCCCATTTTCCCCCATCTGAACCTCCGCCGCCGCGCCGCCGCTGCGGCCACCGCCAGATGGCGTCTCTCGCTTTGACCACTTCCTCCTCCTGCTCCCTCGCCTTCAATTCCCTCCCTTCTCTCAAATCCCGCCGCCTCCCTTCTCCCACTCTCAGATCCGCCGCTCGCCTCTCGTCCCGTCTCCCCTCCCTCTCCTCCTCCGCCTCCGTCGCCGCCGGAGGAAGATTCTCCTTCTCTCCCCTCGCCACTCCCTGCCTCCTCAAATCTAATGCCTCCACCCGCACCTTCAGAATCCGGGCTTCCTCCTCCGAAACTCCAGTTCCCGTTCCCGCGGCGGTGCCCGCGCCAGCCCCGGTGCAGCCATGGCAAGGGGCGGCGATGAAGCCGCTGCTGGCCTCGATTGCCACGGGAGTCATTCTCTGGTTCGTCCCCGTACCGGAAGGAGTGACCAAGCAGGCGTGGCAGCTCCTCGCAATCTTCCTCGCCACGATCGTCGGAATCATCACGCAGCCGCTGCCGCTCGGAGCCGTCGCGCTGATGGGATTGGGGGCCTCCGTACTGACCAAAACCCTCCCCTTCGCCGCCGCGTTCTCCGCCTTCGGCGACCCGATCCCGTGGCTCATCGCGCTCGCCTTCTTCTTCGCCCGCGGGTTCATCAAGACCGGACTAGGTAACCGAATCGCCTACCAATTCGTCTCCCTGTTTGGATCCTCTTCCCTAGGGTTAGGTTACAGCTTGGTCTTCAGTGAGGCGCTTCTCGCTCCGGCGATCCCGTCTGTCTCGGCTCGAGCAGGAGGGATCTTTCTCCCGCTCGTGAAGTCGCTCTGCGTCGCCTGCGGTAGCAATGTGGGCGACGGGACTGAGCACAAGCTCGGTTCGTGGCTGATGTTGACTTGTTTCCAGACGTCGGTGATTTCGTCGGCGATGTTCTTGACTGCCATGGCGGCTAACCCGTTGTGCGTGAATTTGACTATGAATACGATTAAGCAGACGATTGGGTGGACTGATTGGGCTAAGGCTGCATTTGTTCCTGGACTGGTTTCCCTGCTCGTTGTGCCGTTGATTCTGTACATCGTCTATCCGCCAACGATCAAGAGCAGCCCTGATGCGCCCAAATTGGCCAGGGAGAAGCTGGCGACGATGGGGCCGATGACCAAGAATGAGATCATCATGGCTGGAACTCTGCTTGTCACGGTATTCCCTCATTGATTCTTGCTTTTGCTCTAGTTCACTTGTATAAAAGCGTAGTGCTTTCCTTGTAGGCTTCAGTGAGAGTAGCATTTCAGATTGGATATAGTGATTGTTTGCTGCATTTCAGAATCATGTTTCGTTGAATCTTAGTTACACCTAGCGCGATAGCAAATCGGTTTTTAGGAATGATGAATGATGATTGTTGGGGCCTAGGTGATTTGAACAAAGCTTAGTGCTTTCCTTGAAGGCTTCAGAGAATGTAGCATTTCAGCTTTAAAGCTTAGTACTTTCAATTTCATTGAAGGCTTCAGAGAATGGAGCATTTCAGCTTTAGGTATTTGATTGGTTAGTGATTGTTTGCTGCATTTCAGAATCTTGTTTCATTGAATCTTAGTTACACCTAGCTATAGCGAATCGGTTTTAGGAATGATGGATGATTGTTGAGGCCATAATTCTGTGATTAGCAATCCAGCATTGGCAATTAGTGCACACTGGTAACTAGGAGCCTTGATCAAGTTTTGGTTTTTTCTCTTATGAAGGTGGGCCTCTGGATATTTGGTGGTGTGTTGAACATCGATGCTGTGACTGCTGCTATTCTCGGGTTGTCGGTCCTCCTAATCTCCGGTGTGGTGACATGGAAAGAATGCTTAGCCGAATCAGTAGCGTGGGATACCCTGACGTGGTTTGCAGCCCTCATCGCCATGGCAGGGTACCTCAACAAGTACGGCCTCATTTCCTGGTTCAGTCAAACCGTTGTCAAGGTTGGTCGTGCGTTTCTTTACCTCCTCTCAACATTAGCATCCATCTTCACCAAGCCATTGTCGAATAACTAACATTTTCAGGACTCTGGATTTTTGCATTGCAGGTTGTTGGTGGACTAGGGCTCTCATGGCAGGCGTCGTTCGGCATCTTGGTCCTCCTCTACTTCTACTCCCACTACTTCTTCGCCAGTGGCGCGGCTCACATTGGTGCAATGTTCACCGCGTTCTTGTCCGTGGCTAGCGCCCTGGGAACCCCGCCTTACATGGGAGCCATGGTGCTGTCTTTCCTCTCGAACCTCATGGGAGGACTCACGCACTACGGTATCGGGTCGGCGCCGGTCTTCTACGGCGCCGGCTACGTCCCTCTGGCCCAGTGGTGGGGATACGGATTCCTCATCTCCATCGTCAACATCGTCATCTGGCTCGGAATCGGCGGCTTCTGGTGGAAGACCCTCGGCTTGTGGTAAACAAAAAGAAGAGAAAGACAGGAATTTGTCGATTCTTTTTGCCAGCCACTAGGTGAGTGGTGGTTTGCTGAGAATTTGATTCTTTGGCCTCGTTTTTTTGCTTGATGATATCATTATTGGCGGGGTGTAGTTACTAGGTGGTAAATGTTGGAATTGCAATATGAGATTTTGGGAGGATACGAATTTGCCAAATTTTTCATTAGAGAAGGGGAAATTTGACATTTGTTGTAACTCGAGAACCTTTTGACATTTGTTAGGCCTATTCAAAAACTGGCTGACTTGCTTTCATATGATGAGTTTGGCGGGGAAAAGTAAGCAAGTGAACATTTTCCCTAGGAATGGCAATGGAGCAGGTCCGGGGCGGGTTTCTTGGTACCCAGACCCGCCCCATGGCAAGTCGGATCCAGGTCGGGTAATTGATCACAGGTCGCGAGTCAGGGCAGGTCGACCCAATGGGTATGCAATTTATATTAAAAACATTAGAAATATTCGTTATTTTTATTATAAGACTAAGAAAACAAACAATATTATGACAATTGCAGTTAAATTATTGGAGAAATTGAGGTTTTCACTAATTTGCAACTTTCTTATAGCTAAAATATGATGCAATAAAAGGAAAATCCTAAGTAATTTGACTAAGATTACATGTAAATTAGACAAGAACGGGTCGAGAATGGGGCGGGTCAGGGCAGGTCGGGTCGATGAGACTACCCATGCCCGCCCCGCCCCGCCTACGGGGCGGGTCGGACCCGCCCCAAAACAGGTCAAACAGGTCGGGTAACACGGGTCAGGTCGAAATTGCCATCCCTAATTTTCCCGAGGTTAATGTTCGTCGTTACAAAATACAAACCCGACGCTATCTCAACCTAGGAGTAGCTATGATCAATAGTTTTATAATCATATTGAACTTATTTGATCATGTAACGTCATGATCTTATCTATAATTGATCAATTGATATTATATCATAATCCGATTTACTTGATAGTTAATACGATTTCAATTCGACTTGCTTGATACTATCTCAATTCGAGATGTGCCATGACTTGAACTATCATCATCACCACTCACAACAACTAATTGCAAGGACCGGCCACCGTCGAGCCATTGGAACCTTGTGCCACCGCCACCAGTTCCACTTCTTGTTTTGCTTTTTTTTCGTAGAAAGATTGCTACTTTATGGTTCAAGAGCATCGGATTCGAATGTGGGGTGTTATTTATTAGCGGTGTGGGTAGTGGCCAACTCAATTCTTGGCTCAATGAGTCATCAATCATCAGGCACACTTGGAAGCCACTCGTAGCTCTTTTAAGTTAAGCATGCAAACAAATTTATCTTCAGCTTCCCCCACTGTTCAACGGATACTATTAATAATCTGTAATGGCGTTTTAGTCTCTGCAATCGAATCACGCCACTTGGATGATTCATTCCCAATCTTTTTCTAAACATCTTTTCGTTTTGTTTTGTTATGTCATAGTCCCACTGTTCTTCCCCGTCTCTACTGCTTTGAATCGATTAGTGGCCAACCATTCCCCATTAGTCACCTTTCCATGGAAACTTGTCCTTTTAGTTATCTCAGTTTCTGGGTTTGGTACATTTCCTCTCATTTTTCTTCCACATACGCAAATTCCCTTTATCAGCCACAGATTTCCCACACACTTATTTCTCTGCAACTCTGCTGGTTCTTCCACCATTTTTCTGCTCTGAAGTGTCAAAGTTGCAACCTTTGCTGACAAAACAACAAACCTCGCCGATTCAAGCAGGTGGGTTGGAAAAAAAAAAGGGACTTTGATTGCATGGCGATAAAACGTTAAACAAAACCACTTTTGTCTTCTTCAGAAAAAAGGGTCTGAAATCTGTTTGGTACGTTTCCCTTTCTTTCGTTTCAACTAAGGGAACCGAACTGACCTTATTATGGCGACGACAGTTTAGTCGGGAGAGAGAAACAGTGGCTTTTGAGCTCTGGTAAGAGTGACTCTCTCTCAAGTCTCTTCATCTCTTGAAAGCCTGAAACTTGCTTTATATTTGGTGGACTTTCTATAACGTATTGGTTTGGGAATTCGATACATCTCAGTACTTTGGAAAGTGAGTAATCAGTTATGTTAGGCAGGAATGCGGAGTGATGGTTCTTTCCCTTACTGGATTCTTTTGCTAATGGTGTTTTGTGGATTAAGTAATCTAAGAATCCCAGCCTAATCTCCTGTCTCTTCTTTTCTTAGTATATAGAGGAGAGCTTTTTGGTGGTGGGTCTCTAATCTCTAGGTGCTGGCTCAAATGATGGCTGATTCTGATCCTTCATTTCCATCTATGGCCAAGCCAAAACTCCCTCTGTGGGTTTTTGTCAAAGATTTTAGGTACTTTGTTTGTGCTTCAGTCTCTTTCACTTTATGCAGTAGTTTTAATGTGTAGATCAAAGTTTTCAGTTGTGTGTTGATGGCTGCTGATTGCAGGCTGGTACTTACACTGGATGAGCTCGGTTTAGAGATAGCTCGAATAGCTCTGCCAGCTGCTATGGCTTTGACAGCTGATCCCATTGCTTCTCTTGTTGATACAGCGTTCATTGGCCGAATAGGTAATGATCTTCAATGAAATTGAATCTTTCTTCATTTTTTGGTAACTCATTGGAACTTTGCTTTTCAATTCACTCATCAGGTTCTGTAGAACTTGCTGCTGTTGGAGTTTCCATTGCTTTATTCAATCAAGTTTCGAGGATTGCAATCTTCCCACTAGTCAGTGTTACAACGTCGTTTGTAGCTGAGGAAGATGTGATGGCGAAAGTGGCAGCAGAAGCAGAAGAGAGCGAGTCGTTGGAAACCGGCTTAGTTACTACCAATGAGAGTAAAGAATTGATACCACAAAATGGTATTATGCCATGTTCTGAAACCATTCTTCTTCTCACCATTTTGTTTCCAACCTACAATGAATTCTAACTCAAGTTACATCTTTTCTTGCTACTGTTTTCGTTTTTCATAGGTGAACCGCCAAATTCCGGAGATGTCAGCAGCTTTGAGGTAGCGACTAGTAAGGTCACAAATGAAAGAAGACATATACCTTCTGCCTCATCAGCTCTGGTCATTGGTGCCATTCTTGGCCTTGTCCAAACTGTGTTCCTCATTTCTGCTGCAAAACCACTTCTCAACTTCATGGGGGTCAAATCTGTGAGTACATTAGTTAGCTTCTGAAACAAGATACTAGAGATTCATTTTGAGAACCAAAGAGATTTGTATTTGCCCCCTTGTGATCAATATCAGAAGGTCAACCTTTGGCTTCTTTATTTCTGTAACAGGACTCGCCGATGTTAGCTCCTGCACAACAATACTTGACCTTGAGATCGCTTGGTGCTCCTGCGATTCTCCTCTCCTTAGCAATGCAAGGTGTTTTTCGGGGTTTCAAGGATACGAAAACCCCTTTGTATGCTACTGGTATGGCTTTTTGGAACTCTGCAGCATCTTTGTTCATGTTAGTCACCGTTTCATACTAATTCTCTTTCTGTTATTAATTACCATGTTTTCCATAGTGGCCGGTGATGTCACAAACATCATTTTGGATCCTATACTTATGTTTGTTTTCCGTCTCGGGGTCAGTGGTGCCGCCATTTCCCACATCATATCGCAGTGAGTTGATCCGTATAGTTATACATCTGTTGTTATCTTTCCATTGCTTGTAGTGAGATTCTCAGATCAATGTTGATTACAGGTACCTGATCTCAATCATACTACTGTGGAAATTGATTGCACAAGTTGATCTAGTACCACCCAGCATCAGGCATCTGCAATTTGGCCGGTTCCTCAAAAATGGTATTTTCCAGGCTTCTAATGCATTTTTTTATTCAACCAAATCTCTCTGGTTCGTTACCTGAATACAATTCTTCCCAGGCTTTCTGCTATTGATGAGGGTAGTGGCTGTTACATTCTGTGTTACTCTTTCTGCATCCTTGGCTGCAAGACAAGGTCCAACGTCCATGGCAGCATTTCAGATATGCTTGCAGGTCTGGATGGCCACATCACTCCTCGCTGATGGGTTGGCCGTGGCTGGCCAGGTTAGGAAAAAAGAGCTTTCCTTCAATCTCCATTCCTTCATTTCAGTGCCTATAGCTCTTTAATTTCAGATTCGCTGATTCTTTCATGTTAACTTGTGTGTCTCAGGCAATAATCGCAGGTGCTTTTGCTCAGAAAGACTTCGAGAGGGCCACAGCAACTGCATCTAGAGTACTGCAGCTAGGATGGCTTCTAGGTCTGGTGCTGGCATTGGTGCTTGGATTGGGGCTGACATTCGGAGCGCGGATATTCACAAACGATGTTGATGTTCTTCACCTGATTGGCATAGGCATCCCGGTACTCCCCTCCCTCCGCTTTTAAACAAGAAAGAAATGTTACATATCATTTGAAACTAAAATGGTTTGTTTTTCTGTTGAACATCAGTTTGTTGCAGGGACTCAACCCATCAACGCATTGGCTTTCGTCTTCGATGGCGTCAATTTCGGAGCATCCGATTTCGGTTATGCTGCCTACTCAATGGTATTACTGACATGACTCTCTCGTGCCTTGACTCCCAAGTTACTAATTACTTTGCTGGAATGCTCACTGGGCATAAATTTGATCCATGTGAGGGAATATATGTTGTCATTTGTGCAGGTTCTGGTTGCCATATTCAGCATTGGGTGTTTGCTGTTTCTGTCTGCAAGTTACAAGTTCATTGGCCTCTGGATAGCTCTTACCATCTATATGAGCCTCAGAGCTTTTGCTGGTTTCTGGAGGTTTGTTTATTCCCCTAGTGTCCCTGATATTCTACTTTTATATTTAAGTTCTCTTTTGGTAGCATTGGTATTGATCTTCATGGATTTTGCAGGTTGGGGACTGGAACAGGGCCATGGAACTTCCTCAGAAGACTGTAAAAAAGGACCAGGACCACCTGTTACAGCTCATTTTGCTCTGCATACTTGTGTTGTGTGTAGTTGCTTGCTAGAAAGAAATCCCGAAGTCAACATGTAAAAACAATTCTCCCATTGTAAATAAGAGCAGTAGAATTTTGAGCTCAAATGTTAATCCAATGAAGCGTCATCGTCTCTAACAAAGAGTTGGTTCTTTATGCAAAACACATTCATATAGTATGGTTCATCTGTACGTTATATATCGATTTGGTCCGATTTTAAGCAGAATGGTGCCTCACACACGACAACTAGACAGATATGACGGGAAATGAGAAACTAAACTTTGAGGACGACGAGTTTGTACCCCATATTGTTCAGTTTCAACTAGGCGAAAAGATCAATCTACTTTATAATCTTTGAATGTAAAGTTACAGGACCGTACATATATCCAAAATTCCAAATGGTATCTACAGTCCAACAATGGAAGTAGACTTGGTAATTACCTATCTAGCAACATAACTATTTAACTTCCTGGGAAACGAGTTCCAGCCAGAGGAAGCAAACCATAACTTCCAAACAACCTCTAGAAACTATCTCCTCCTCTTTCCCATCTGAAGATCCAAGGCTACCTAGTAAACTCTAAAGTTGCAGTCTTTGTAGAAAACTGCCTACCTCTGAACGCGCCGCAGTTGATTTGTTGCTCTTCTGGACCCAAAAACTGCTGCTTCCATCAAACCCACCTCTCAAATCCTCGTATCTCGGTATTTGGGTAGGCCAACGAAGGATCGGCTGAAACACATTCCAGTGAAGGAAATCCAGTGATGCCGACCGATATTCAGTGAAGAACTGCAGCTCCTGCTTCTGCAAATTGCAGGACAAGACACGAGTATTCCCATCGATGTGCACGAACTCTAGGAAGACGATTTCCGGCTTGTTTGGATGCATCCCCAGCACACGTTTCATCTCCATGCCCTGAACCTCACTCAACATATCCTTCAATGACACCCTGTATAGCCTCCTCCATTCCTCAACACCTCCTGCATCCAGTCTCCAAACACACAAGACGTCATTCGATCGAACAGTTCCCTGATGCTCGATTATGATCAAGTGCAGAACCCCCTGTGACGCCCAGACGTCACAGTACATCAGTCGCTCGACGAAGAACCTCGAGATATCAAGAACAACCAAGGAACACTGACGGAGAGGATTGAAGACAACAACTTGCCGATTCATGTTCCTCCAGTACAACTTGCCCTTACATGAAGCTACATTACGGGCCGGAAACCGTCCGGTGCTCCAATTGAAAGCCATCCCGTCTCGAGACCATTTCCCAGACGCAGAACAAAAGAAGTCCGCCGCTAGATCAATCCCGTCCACATACATACAAACTACCATGAATCCTTGGTTCAAATTCGTACAAAACTTCCCGGGTCCGAAGACTAATCTGACAATCGATCGTTCGTACCTGGTTTTCCTCTCGGGGGCCAGAGGGAGGGCGACCCACTGCTTCGTGAAGGGATTGCAGACGACGAACGTTCTCCCCATTTCGGAATTCCTCACCTTCTCCTCCGTCCCGCACAGAATCAGGTCGTGAGACGAGTCGAGAACCCGGAGCTTCCTCCGGATTTCGTCCGGCGCCGGGAGGAAATTCAGGACCGGTTGAGGATTGCCTGGGAGAATCAGCGGCGGTTCTCCGTTGCCGCCGCCGCCGAGGACAGTGGTTTCGTGGTGGGAGACGAATCGGGCGGCGAAGGAACGAGAGGAGATTAGGAATGCCCACCAACTGCACACGGATTTGCATTGGACGGCGGATTTAGGGTTTGGGAGGCGGATAAGAATCTCGAAGACGAGACTGTCCCAGAGCTTGTTGAAAGGAGAATCCGGGTAGGGTTCATAGGGAAAACTTGGTCGTCGTCTTTTCCTTCCCCAAAAAGGAAGGACGCCATTGATTCGTGTCAAGTCCATGGGAGCGCGGCTCTCCGTCGCCATGGCAGTAAATAGTAGGAAGACCAGCGGCGAGTTTGAAATGAGTAACAACGGAAAGTCTTATAATGAGCGCGGGCTTTCCTTCTCCTATACGGATTCAGAGACGGTGGTGAATTTAAATGGGCTTTTTTCCACTGTAGCCCAATTTCAATCTAACCGTATAAAAGGGCCTAGTGGATAGCAAGATTGGCATGATTCTGCAGGAAATTATTTCACTTCTGGATGCGTTGGGTTCTTGCGAGGTCCAATTCGTAGGTCGAAATCGAAATAGAGCGGCTCATTGTAGGGGGCGATAAACGGTTAGTCGGTTATCAGTTTTAACCGATAACCGCTACTTTCTTATTGATTTCGGTTTTGGTTAGTAGTATTTTGATTAGTGGTTAACCGCTAACTGATTAACCGATTAATCGGTTAGCGGTTAACCGATAAGAAAACCGATAACCGCCTAGTAGTGTGACTACATGGTTTTTTACTTTGGCTAAGGGGAAAAGTTGTAAGATTCAAAACCAATCAAAGTCGCAATTCCAAACATCCCAATTCTCACATATTGAAAACAACCCTCCATCAAGAGTCTCAAATGTTTTTAAGAGTTAGAACTCGAAAGTCACCCCTCTCTAACTCCCCTTTGCACTCGATAGAGTGAACCTTAGGTTGATGACTATGGGCTAGATGAAGATCTTGGAGTAAATGATGACTATGGGCTAGATGAATTGGAGCGAGATCCTCGGATCATTTAGGTTGATGATTTGGAGATAATGAACTTGTTATTTGTGTCTAGTTGTGATTGTGACTTGTGGTTGAATTGTGGACATGTAGACTTTATGTTGTGGAGTTGTGGTTGAATTGTGTGGTTGCTTTAGGCTTTATGTTCAATTGATTTAGATGACTTTATGGTGTGTGATTATAGAGGCTGAAACAAAAGCAGGTCACTCAAAATTGAGGGTGAATCATTAAAAAAGGTTGTTGAAATTCGGTTTTGGGTGGTCGGTTTCTGAACAAAAACTGAGAAAGTGAACCAGAACCTGTGGTTTCGGTTAACCGTAATGGAAAACCGAAACCGATGTTTGCGGTTTTCGGTTAACCGAAGTCTCTATCAGTTTCGGTTAGCGATCTTGGGACAATTTTGGTTGCGGTTAACCGATATTTCGGTGTGGTTAAACCGAAACCGCACCGACTAACACCCCAAGCTCATTGTGTGACCTGTCATGTCCTGATTTTGTCATCTCTCATGTTTAGGAGGTTTGACTTATGTGCTTGGTTACGTTCTAGGGTCTAGTGGCTCTTGTGCTTTTTTTTGTATCTGAACGATTTTCTCTTTTGAAGAGTGATCTAATGACAAAAAAAAGGGGCCATTGATGTTTCTTTTGGCTCTTCTTCCCTCTCGATTTATTATAATGATTCCGATTTTTCATTGTTATTGTGTCAACTATATCACGTTTTGAGATTTAAACTTCATTGGTGAGAAGCGTATGTAAAGATTCTTTTCGAGACCTTCACTTCATGCATGTTCTGATATCAGAATTAAAATATTAGTGTTCTTTGATTGCAAGACAATGATAGATTTTAATGATGTAAAACTCCACAGTTAATATAAACTTTCATATCCAAGTATCATTGAAATATGGAGACAATTTTCTCACATCACAAAGTGATCAATCAAAAAAATTAGTTTCAATTCACCCTTAATGTAAGAATGATATTTGAAAACTCTTACCATCCCAGTTGAAAATCTCCCATACATGAACAAAATCATTATCACTATAGTTGGTGAACTTGATATATTGAGAAAGAATGCATCATGTTTTACTCTCGTATATATTGCTTTCACTAGTCATGTCTCTACCTTGACCGAGTCCCCCGAGGGGGAGAATGCTCCTCTGTCTTTTGAAAAACCTAGTCTCCCCATCTTCAAATGACATATGTAGTTCCCTTAAGGAAAATGGTGCTCTTCTATCTTCTAAAAAACCTAGCCTCCAGTCGACTTCCCTGTTCTGAAGACTTTATGACTGGTAGGCTCGATCATTTCAAATGACATGTATAATTCGCATAATAAAAAAAAAATAAAGGCTGCTCTCTGACATCCGTTCTTTGTTTTAACTTCAAATAAGTTTTGGGTCGAAGTGCATTAACTTCAATTGTTCCTATAGGGTCAGGCATGTCAAAGGAAATGACGAGACCCCGCACAAGTGGTAGATCATGTGGCTTAATTTGTTACAACACAAATTTCATAGATTCACTTGTATTCACACACACACACACATATATATATATATATATATATATATATATAAAAACTATTTTTTTCACGCAATCTCATATATCAATCAATCTTTTCACACAAACTTGTAAATTGAAATAAACCAATCAGGTTCTGGCATTAACTTCTTATTATTACTATTTCATAGTTTCTCAAATAACAAAAACAGTTGATATTTTAACGGAAATAAGATGGCGAGACAATAGACTTTTTCAAATATCGTAATTAATAAACATTAAAAAAAATGAGATGAGTTGGGGAGTTTGACAAAGATGAAAAGAAATTGAATATATTTTGTAAGAAGGATGCATATGTAAAATAAATAAATAAAATCAGAGCTATAGGGGTAATTGTAGTCATTCAACCACTTCTACTTTGACATCAGTGATAGAGATTCTAATCCGATTTGTACCAGGAGAACGCGTAGATTCTAATCCGATCAGGACTAGGAGAACGGCAAAGAAAGGCGGAAGGAAGTCTAAATGGAAAAGGATTCACTTCTTCCCCACGGCTTAATATTTATATTCGCTAGTCTTGCCGGATATCATTTGTTCCGATCAAATCGACTTTACGAAAACTTGAATTATTGGGATGAACTGGTTCTTGAAACTCGTACGGTGCGGCTCCCTCTCAGCATTGGATCGCAGGCAGCAACGCCGAGAGGCCCTCGACGACGCTTTGAAAGCAAACAAGCCTCCTCCTCCTCCTCCCCTGCAGTTCCCCAAACTGGAAGACGACCTGATGGTGGAAATTCTGGTCCGCAGCTTCCCGGACCCGAAATCCGCCGGCCGCTGCAAGCTCGTCTGCAAACGGTGGAGGAACTTAATCGGCGGCACCCGCTTCATGCACTGCTTCGCTTCTCGCCACCAGTTTCTCCTAGCCCGTGGGATTCTCTCCACTCCCAGAAACAATATGTAAAAAAAAAAAATCCTCTGTTTTTTTCCCCCCTCTGTTTCTCTCTGTTTTCTTCAAGTCTCCTCTGTTTCGTGACCAGTCAGTCTACTTTTTATTTTATTTTTTTGCTTCTCTCTCTGTTTTTTCGTTCCGGCTCGCAGCACCGCCGGTGAGAATCAGACATCGAGGTGTTGGGCTGAATTAATATCCTGGGAGCCTCGTGCCTTCGTCTACCACAATTTCCTCGTGAGTCGTTCGAATTTCGATTTCCCTTTTACCTTAAATCTGCTGGTTAGTCGCCACTGAATGTGGGTTTGAGTGATTCTCGCTGCAGAGCAAGACAGAGTGCGAGCACTTGATCAGTCAGGCCAAGCCTCAATTGGCGAGGTCGAAGGTTTTCTGTTCAGAAACTCGGATGAACATAGAGAGCAGGTTAGTTAATGAATCAGTACAGTACTTCTTCTTCTTCACATATAGTATCACACATCTTGAGTTCGAATCTCGAACCAGACCCCTCGTTTGTTAATCACGTAGTATTTGGGACAATGTACAAACTTCCAAGTCCATATCATGAGTTGGGAAGCGTTAGTAAAATGGTATTTATAGACCATCTCGAACAACTTCATAAGTTGTTGTGACCAACTTTATTTATGACGTGACATGAGAGCTGACCGTTCGAGTTCCTCTCATGTGACACACCAATACTTACCGTTGTCCTATAAACTCAGCAATCGTACAAGCTCACAAGGATCTGTAGGCTCGAGCAATGTCGTTACGGACATTGAGAAACGGATTGCTGATTTCACATCCATACCTGTAGGTAAGGCGCGCAGTTGGGCCTAGCTTCCATTTTGTTCAGTGCATATATATATATATATATATATAGCTCTTTAAATCTACTTCTGCTTCTTGGTCGATCTTAAGGAATCTACCAAAAATCGAAATTTCCATGTGAGAATCGAAATTTTCCAACGTTTTGAAACCAAAAATGTGCAGAGAATGGGGAACGTCTTCATGTCGTTCACTATGAAGTCGGGCAGAAATTCGAGCCCCACTTTGACTACTCCCCGAGCGAATACTACGACAAGACTGGGGGAGCACGCGCAGCTTCTGTTCTTATGTACCTGTAAGTGAGATCATCCCGCTTCCGCGATCGCGGCCTTAAAGTTTATTTCGTTTGTATAGCTCGTAATGCTTTTTCGCGATCCTCTCTCTGTTAGTAAGTTGTGTGTGATTCATAATTCAATCTCTCCCAATAATTCGAGTTGTCGATCGCGCGGGAACCAATCTCCTCTTGACGCACCTCGCATTTTACAGGTCGGATGTTGAAGAAGGTGGCGAGACAGTTTTCCCTAGTGCAAAACCAGTTAGTTGCAGTAGAAAGGGGGAGAGATTAGGGCTTTCAGTGAAGCCTAAGATGGGCGATGCATTGGTTTTCTGGAGCATGAAACCTGATGGCGGTATGGATCCTTCGAGTATGCATGGTAAGTATCGTATTGTGGTCGCTAAATCCCTATTAGAGTATGAGTATTACGAGTAGTATATTATATTTTACCACGAGTATTGTTATGTAACTAATTTGAAAGAGTTCTATTTCTTATCAGAATCGTGTGTTCTCTTTCAGGCGGTTCTGCTGTGATTAAAGGGGACAAGTGGTTAGCTATCAAGTTTCTGCGAGTGAATGAGTATAAAGTCTTGAATGCATAGCCTTGGTGCTGCCATTGATGAGATTTGTACGTAAACGTTGATGCATGTTTTAATATCGGAGTTAGGATTTTTACTGTTATTTGATTGAAGACAATGATAGATTATAATGATGCTAACTCTGCAGTTATATATGGACTTCATATTTATGGATTATTGAAATATGAAAGATAAAAGTTTCTTACCTCACAATGTGAAATAATGGTAGGCTCGGAGCGGGATCATATGCATAACCTTGTCAGCAATAGTTATGTAATAATTAATTTATTTCATGCAAACTTGTAAGTTGAAACAAACCAATTAGGGATGGCAAAAATATCCGTAACCGTGGATACTCGCCCGAACCCGGCCTAAACGGGTAGGGCAAAACCCGAACCCGAAGGACATTTAGTGGGTACGGGTAAAACCCGAACCCGAATATTGCAGGTAATGGGTGGGCATGGGTTTCTCACTATCCAACCCGAACCCGCCCGATTATACACATACATATGTATTTTGTCTATAAATAATCATTATATATTTCTCTAATATATTTTATATTTAGCATATAAATATAATATTTTCATGAAATTGCGTTGTTTTAATTAATTTTCTTCATTCTAGTGAATTATTGTCATACTTTTCCTCTTAAGTAATGTGAGAATACATGTGAATGTTAACATATTTGTTGGAGTTATGAAGAGAAATCATTACCCATGGATAACCGTGGATACCCGAAACCCGAACGGGTATGGGCATGGTTTTAATTTTCTACCCGTTTCACATGTGGGTATGGGTATGGGTAAAACCCGAACTACTTTGGGTAGGGTAATGGATATGCACTATCCGTCCCCGACCCGACCCATTGCCATCCCTAAAACCAATCAGGTTGTGGCGATATTTTACCGAAAATAAGATAGTTAGACAATATGCCTTTTTCATTATAATAAAACCTAAAAATGAGATGAATTGGAGTTTGACAAATGTGAAAAGAAACTGAATAAATTACATGGTAAGATGGATGTATAAGTCAAAAAGTTAGTATTAGGGATAAATTTGGTAGTCATTTGGGAGCCAATTCTATGTATAACCTTGTCAATGATAATCATGTATAATATTATTATTTATAATTTGAATAACCATATACTTACCATTTGTGGAAGACAACTATTTTTTTCTCCAATTAATTTTAATGGGTCATATATCTTTCTTTTTAAGTAATAATTTTTTTTCCACAGTTAAATCAAACTAATCGTGCTCTCCAAAATGACATCCACTTTCATATATATTTTTAAACAAAATTCACTTGTATAGTCATGGCTATCGACTTTGTGACAATAATAGGTTATTTCTAAGAAATACACAAAATGTCCAGATGTTGAAAACATATTTGACAAATTTAGCCATTTTCATTAAAAACTTTAACACCATTAGAGATTTCGTCAGTTACATTAACAAGATGCCGACAACGAGGATGTCATCTTGATGCACACGTCAGTTACGTACCATGACGATAATGCTTGGTAGTAATGAACTAGGGGTGGAAGTTTTTTGTTTTTTTTTTTCAGATTGCGGGTGCACATAAACCTCACTAGACTGAGCACTTTGTGAATAACCATTACCCATGCGCAGTTTACTTGTAAATAAATAATCAGAGCTATAGGGATAACCGTAGTCATTCACCCACTTTTACAAGTGTGTTAGATTCTAATCCGAACTGCACTAGGAGAACGCGTAGATTCTAATCCGATCAGGACCAGGAGAACGCAAACAAAGGCGGAAGTCTCAGCTACAAAAGGCTTCACTTTCCCATCAAATCGTCTGCTCCTCTTCCTTGAGCTCTCGCGCGCGTTATTCGAGTTATTGAGATGTACTGGTTCTTACCCCTTCTACTTTGCGGCTCTCTCTTAGCAACGCGTCTTGGGCAGCAACGCCGAGATGCTTTGAAAGCAAACAATCCTCCTCCTCCTCCTCCCCAGCAGTTCCCCAAACTGGAAGACGACCTGATGGTGGAAATTCTGGTCCGCAGCTTCCCGGACCCGAAATCCGCCGGCCGCTGCAAGCTCGTCTGCAAGCGGTGGAGGAACTTAATCGCCGGCACTCGCTTCAAGCACAGCTTCGCTTCTCGCCACCAGTTTCTCCTAGCCCGTGGGATTCTCTCCATTCCCAGAAACAATATGTAAAAAAAAAAAATCCTCTGTTTTTTCCTCCCCTGTTTCTCTCTGTTTTCTTCAAGTCTCCTCTGTTTCGTGACCACTTCTCTCTCTGTTTTTTCGTTCCGACTCGCAGCACCGCCGGTGAGAATCAGACATCGAGGTGTTGGGCTGAATTAATATCCTGGGAGCCTCGTGCCTTCATCTACCACAATTTCCTCGTGAGTCGGTGTTCCGGCAGGCCGGCCGGCCGAATTTCAATTTCAGTTTCAATTTCCTTTACCTTATTCTGTTTGGTTAGTCGCCACTAAATTGGTTTGAGTGATTCTCGCTGCAGAGCAAGACGGAGTGCGAGCACTTGATCAGTCGGGCCAAGCCTCGTATGACAAGGTCGAAGCTTTTTAATCTCGATACTCGGATGAGAATGGAGAGCAGGTTAGTTATTAGCTAGTTAATTATTCTCTGGAATCACTTCTTCATATATATCATCACATGACAAACCTTCACGATAATCGCTAGAGAACTTGTGTTCGAATCCCGGCTACGCTCAGTTGTTAATGACTTAGTAGTTTGGACAATGTACAAACTTCGAGTCCATATCATGAGTTGGGAAGCGTCTGTAAGTGTTATAGACTATCTCCAACAACTTAACTTGTTGTGACTTGTCATCATATGTTTTTGACGTGGTATTAGAACTGATCTGTCGTCGAGATCATGTGTTTAAGTAGTTACTTTCCTCAAATTTGCGATAACCTTCAGCACACGTACAAGCACACAAGCACCTGTAGGTTCGAGCAATGTCGTTCGGGACATTGAGAAGCGGATTGCTGATTTCACCTTCATACCTGTAGGTAAGGCGCAAAGTTGGACCACCTTCCATCTTGTTCGTTGCATATATGGATCTGTAAATCTACTGTTGCTTCTTGGTCGATCTTATGGAATCTACCAAAATGTGCAGAGAACGGGGAACATCTTAATGTCGTTCACTATGAAGTCGGGCAGAAACTCGAGCCCCACTTTGACTACACCGGCCCGCACGATTACTACACCAAGACTGGGGGAGCACGCGCAGCTTCTATTCTTATGTACCTGTAAGTGAGATCAATCGTTCGCGCGCGATCGCGGGTCTTTAAGTTTCACTAATGCTTTTCGCGATCCTTCTGTTAGTAAGTTGTATGCGATTCGTAACTCAATATCTCTCCCAACAACTCGAGTTATTGGGACCAATCGGTTCTTGACACACACACCATGCATTTTACAGGTCGGATGTTGAAGAAGGTGGTGAGACAGTTTTCCCTTTTGCTAAACCAATCGATTACAGTAGCAGGGAGAAGAAGAGAAAGAGATTAGGGCTTTCGGTGAAGCCTAAGATGGGCGATGCTTTGGTTTTCTGGAACATAAAACCTGATGGCAATGTGGATCCTTGCAGTAAGCATGGTAAGTATATATGGTGTGGTATTACGAACATTATATATTATATTATACTACGAGTATTATTATTACATAATAATAATTTGATTAAGTTAAGTTACTTATCATAGCCGTAAAAGTTTGGTTTTGAAACCCTGCCTTATGATGTGGGGACTAGTCTCACCAAGATTACGATGATTGATTGTCTTTCTCTCTGCAGCTGGTTCTGCTGTGATTAAAGGGGACAAGTGGTTAGCTCTTAATTTTATGCGAGTGAATAAGCGTAAGGTTCAGAATGGATAGCCTTGGAGTTGGCTGCTGCTGCCGCCATTGATGAGGAGAACTGTACGGAAACATTGATTTTCAAAGCCTAAAACTTTTCATGCATGTTCTAATCTCAGAAGTTAACATTTTGTTGTTATTTGATTGCAAGACAATGATATAAAACTCCACAGTTACATATAGACTTTCACGATGTGAGTCTAAATTTTTGTGTCTCAAACATTTTTGTATCAATTACCCTTCAACTGTCCAGAGACAGACACCACAACAACACACAGAGCAATAGCTTTGATTTCGCGGCAGTTCCTCTGCCGCTCTGAGAAGGATCTTCTCCAGAAAACCATCCCGGAATTCGGGTTCCAGGCATGCTCAGGTTTCTCAAGTTCCTCGAGCAAGAAGCCTGGAATGGAAGTTAGTAAAATGCAACTAATGTTCAAATATTAAGAATAACCATTTCAGGGTGCTGCTATAGTCGGTTGGTGGATGGTTTATAATATAGAGACCATCTCAAAATAACTATCAACTGCACAAGTTCTAAAAATGAAGATTAATTTCTCCACTCATCAATAGGTAAGCACATAAACAAGCCGCATTGTACCTAAAAGTAAAACCATGGCAACCAGCAATAATACATGGGAAATGGATGTAAATTTATACAGACTCCTCTCGACATAGTTTTCTCAGCAGCCACTTCTTTCGCATTCTACCGTCCAATGCTAAGAACAGTTGCGCACTCCGGCGTGATTCTTCGAATAGATCACACGCATCCAGGAACAGTTCATCATCTATGCCTGGTGTGTCCTGGAGCGCATGAACAGCATTTGACAATTGAACATCACTGCTTTTCCTTCCATTCATCTGCAATTTTCTTTTAGTGGCGTCCTCCCAACAACAGACTTTCACCACGTTCTGCTTCTTATTAACCGGGCGCTTGGACAGTGATGTTGATCTGTTGCTCTTCCTCGGTCGACCAATTCGTTCGACTCCCTCAACCGCTTTGCATTCTGTTTCTGGAACAACAATTCAACCAACCACAGCATAAATAAGAAGAGAGGTAATAGTTAAAGATTAGAGAGCACAGACAAACGTCTCTTTGCATCGTGTCACCGCTACAAATACTACATTCAAGTTCAGTTTAGTGCATCCGAGATCGAAAGAAAGCGCAGGCAAGAAAGGGGAAGGAAAGAGAGTAAAGTTACCATTTATTAGGGGAGTTGGTGATTCCTTGCTGCAGCTCTGAACCAAACAACTGTAGGTTCCATCATACATACCTCGCAGTTTCTCATAGCTAGGAATTGGGGTAGGCCAGCAAGTGAACCTAGGCTGCAACACCTTCCAGCGAATACTAGGTACTTGATCAGCTACAAAGTTCAGTTCCATTGTCCTCAAATTGCAGGAGAAGATAAGACGTCCATAAGCAAGAGGACTAGACAATTCCAAGAAGACAATTTCCGGCTTACTCGGGTGCAGAGCAAGTACATTGTGCAGCTCCATGTCTCCATATTCTTCACGGACAGATCTTAGTAAATCCATCCAAGACGCTTTATATAGTTCGCGACATTTTCCATCAGCAGTGCCAATGCCTTCTTCTGTCAATCTAAAAACACACAAAACACTCCATGGAAGACCTGGTAGAACATCAGGGTAAACCTCAATCTTGTGCAAATCACCATGTGAAGCCCAAACTTGCGCACCGACTCTGCCAGCCAAGCAGGGACTACAAATAGAAGTTGGAGGTACATGTGGGCGGAAAGGATCCCACACAGCAACACGAATCATGTCAGCAGCCAGCCAACACAACTTGCCATTGCAGCACGACATCAGACGCCCTGGAACGAATCTTAAATTACGATCCATATCAATAACGTCAGTCATCCATTCCCCAGACTCCGAACAGAACACGTCTATTTTCGGAGCTTGAGCCGTTCCACAAAGATGCACCACACGGAACCGATACTCGGAATCGATACCAATTACTTGGCCATTACTATCATGAGTAGTATTACTACGAGGCTCACAAACCAAGCTTTCCGTCGACACAAGACAAGGATCTGACCTTTCAGGCGCTAAAGGGAGGGCGACCCATTGCCTTGTAAACGGATTACAGACGAAGAACAACCTCCCCAATTCGTGATAACTATTTTCATCCTCCTTCGCCCAGCGAAACCCACATAAAACCATATCATTGAAAGAATCCACAACAATGAAATGCTTTCGAATTTCATCAGGCACGGGGAGAAAGCTCAGGATGGGTTCGGGCTTATCTGTTGGCAGCAGAGCTGGTTCTCTGTCGTCGTCGTCGTCCCCTTCGTTCCGGTGGTGAGAAACGAAATGGAGACGGAAATTGGGATCGGAGATCAGTGAGTCCCACCGTTTGCAGACGGATTTGCACCGGAAGACGGATCTAGCGTTGGGGATGCGGATCAGAATTCCCACCAGGAGATCGTCCCCAAGATCGCTGATTGGAATACGAGGGTTTGCTTTTGACCTGCTGCGTAGTACTCTCCTGGCGCAAGGGAGACGATGCCCATCGGCGGCTGCGGTTAGTCGTTTCTTCCGACTCGTCGTGCAGTTTCCGGTCGCCATGGAAGGAAGAGCAAGCGAATTGGGGACGACAGCGAACCACAATCGATGAACCAGAGAAACCCTAAACCCTTTTGAATCGACGGCTGCAATTTTGCCGCTTCCTACTCCAACTATAATATCTGTTTTACCGCCAAAAAGTTCTGTTGCTTTGATATTGTGGGCCAATATGTGGCATAATGGGTTGGGCCGACCATGTTTAACCTGCGCATATTTCTATGGGCCGATATCAATGTCCCGCATAATAGGTCTCAAGCCCATTACTGACAAGTTAGTAATGTAGAATGAAAGTTTTAATATCGTATTATCTTTATGCGTGATCTCTAATACTTGGGTAACGAATGCACATCTAGTGTATAATCTATCTCTCTACGTTTCTTACAAGTTTGAATGTGTGGTATAGAGAATTGATTGATTTTCTAGCTTACTTGCCACTTATGTGCTGATTTTTGGAGAACATCTTTTGAAGGGGGTAAATGTGCAAGTGCCAAGCCAAAAGGATAAGATTTGTTTTAGGAGGGAACAAAAATTTTGGGTTGGTGCACATTGTTGTCACTTAATTAATGGCGATGGACATCTTTCAAGCCTATAAGTGTGTTGTAGTAGTAGTTGTTGGACCATTCCAATTCCAATCTTGCATTTGTTTATGAGGATTCCAAGTTGCTTGATTAAGGAGCATATTTTATCTTTCAATGTCACTTTTTTTTGTTGATTAAGATGTACATGTGCTCCTTAATTTATGCCAACAAAAAAAACACTTCATGGCTAAAGAAAAAAAAATTATGTGTCAATCATCCCAAAGTTACATATTGAACAAATAACATGGCCAGCTTTGGGTTAATTAATTGATTATATTATCATATTAGATGTTGCTATTAATCTCAGTTTCTCGGGTACTTGTAGGCAGGTGATTAGACATCAAAAGGTAGTAGCAACAGTCGTTATTTCATCGGCAAGCAACAAAGTAGTTGATCATCAAGCAAAATCCAATCATATTTGCAGTCGACTCAAATTAGAACTCATGATGTGTCGTTTAGTTCACTGAATACTGAAGAGAGGAGACTGCCGTTTGTTTCATCTGAGCCCTAGCCAAATTAATGTCATTGGTTTCTTTTCCCCTCAATTTTGTGTTGCCACATATGCATAGTTAGTCTAGGATACTCTCACCCATTTGGAATTGGTTTTCCATTTTGCTCCCAAAGCTCTCAAAAGATAATGGGCAAATGTGTAATTGGTTAGGCCTCCCCATGAGGATAGCAAAAGTGTGTTTGATGTTGTGAGATCACTTGGAAAAACAGAAAACCATATTCAGTTTACTTGTGCATCACATAACCACTTCGATCCCTCCAAGATAATACTTCAAACCTATGCATATGCTTTTGTTTCCCTATCCCAACATAACGTCATTGCTTGTCTTAGCTAAATGATGTGGATTTGTTGCTTGGTAGGGACTTTGATGGTGTCATGTATTCGATGCTTGTTATCCAAAACATATGCTGTCAATATTCATTTCTTTAATTTATTGTGATATTTGTTTCAATACTTGAGAGCTACCTGCAAAGTTCTTAGTCTTCGATTGTTTTTCCTTTAAGATGGGGAGTTAGAACTGTCGAATGGAAGATATACGTTATATTCAGTCATAAACATTTGACAAATTATGTAGATAATGATCCTAATAAAATAAGCTGACGAATCATTTGGGTGGAGCATTTTGAGAATGAGATATTTGCGAATAAATATTCCTTTCTACAAAAAGATTAGGTATTTTAAAATGATTCAAAAGTGACATTATGAACTAAAAGCTCTCATTTCCCCTTCCTAAATCACAATTAGCCGAATTTTGTGACATTTTATTCCAAATGTATCGTTGATATACCCAATCCAAACAATTCATGAGTATGGTTAACGGGAAATTAGGGGGTCTGTCTAACTATAATCTCTTATCTTCCCCGACTGGCTTTTCATCCTTCAAGGATTCTTGACAACTAACTCATAAGACTAGTAATGACTTTTCCTTTTTTTTTTCATTCATAAAGTTTGGATTATATATTATAACACTTAATAACCAGACGTGGCAGTCGACAAATAATTGAATTGTTGATGAAAATGCCTTAGAAGCTACTAGATAGACAACCGAAATAAATAAAGAAATTGAGCAAAAGAAGATGAAGTCAAGTAATGACTTTTCCATTACTTTCACAGTTTGTTTTAATTCTTCTTTTTACCTCAACAATTATTTGAGACCTTCACCATTTATGGGTATCATTTGCTTAAGCAATTGATCAAATAATTCAATGATCTAGTTAAGCAAAAGATCAGAACATGGACTTAAGAAATTAATAAAGAAGATTGTGGCTGAACCAGAAATCTTCTCTCTCTCTACTTTTGCCAAGTGAAAGAAAATCCTCTCCCGCCATTAGGAAAACGACGGCGTACCCGTGACGCTCCCCTGGCTTTATCAGGCCGCCATCCAATCCATCTCCTCCATTTCTCGTCCCAGAATTCTTGTCTGGTAATTAAGTTTAGCATTCTGCCAATCCTTCCTTTCTCCAGTTGATTTCCAGCTTGCTAGCTGCTAAATGAACAGAAGAAGAAACCAACAAGCTCTTGCCTTTCTCACGGACCCATAATCCCCTTTTGCTTCCTCTCCCCAAATTCCTTCTGTACAGATAAATAATAAGAAAAGACGCCATTCTGTTCAAGGGCCCCATTGCTCTTCGTCCTCTGGACTTCCCAAGGCTAGTTTTTTTCTCATCTGGGTACTGAGGATTTGTGAAAAAGTTTGCGCCTTTGCCTCAGCTTCGATGCTTTCATAGCTTTCCGCGACCTATATTATACGGGTTGAGAGCTTCCACCCTTTCTGGGTTCTTTGTCAAATCAGAAAATATGGTGCTGGGTAATGCTAAAGCAAGAGCCTTTACCTTGTTCTTCCTGTTCTTGTTTACATCTTGCTCCGAGGGCAAAGAGTGTACTAACACTCCCACGCAGCTTTCTTCCCACACGTTTCGTTATGGACTTTTGTCGTCAGATAACGGCACGTGGAAGTCGGAGATGTTTGCCCATTACCACGACGATGATCACTTGATACCCACTGATGATTCGGCCTGGGCCAGTTTGCTTCCGAGGAAGGTTTTGAGGGAGGAGGAAGAGTTCAATTGGGCGATGGAGTACAGGAAAATGAAGAAGAATGTTCAGTCTTCTTCTGCTGGGAGCTTCCTGAAGGAAGTATCCTTGCATAATGTGAGGCTGGATCCTAGTTCCTTGTACTGGAGGGCTCAACAGACGAATTTGGAGTACTTGTTGATGCTGGATGTTGACAATTTGGTTTGGAGCTTCAGGAAGAATGCTGGTTTTGCGACTCCTGGGACTCCTTATGGTGGTTGGGAAGCTGCTGATGTGGAGCTCAGAGGTCATTTTGTTGGTTAGTTCTGTTTCCCCCTTTTTCTTGGTCACGGTTCATGAGTTCGAATGTGGCAATTTGATTCATTTCCAGCATGTTATGGGAGTATAGTTCTTGCTTTGATCCCTCGAATGTAGCAAATCGCGTCTTTTCCAAGAAGCTTGGAGGTATTGAGATGATATGGGAGCATAGGTTTGGTGTTTAAATGTTAGCCATTGTTAGTAGTTAGTTGAAGTACAACATATGATATAACACAGCTTAGTATTACCCCTTTTTCTTTGTCACAAATTGATGAGTTTGTTACAATTTGAGTCATTTACAATAAGAATTAGGCTGATGAGATGTACTGAGTATAAGTTTTATGTTTGAACTTTAATGGTTACTATAACTTATTGGTTTAAGCTTGATGACAGAGGGCTTGTACCTCCTTATTGGCTTGATTCGCTTGAAATGGTTTTCATAATGTTTTATGAGGTGTTTGTTTCAGATCATTTACTCGAATGAGTAGCTTAAAAGCTAGTCAAAGGAAGCACAACCTTGAAATTTGAAACATTAGTATAAGTTGATATCTGACAAGTGAACTGTTGCATTTCATTTGTGTTTCAGGACACTACATGAGTGCTGCTGCGATGATGTATGCCAGTACGCACAATGAAACTCTCAAAGAGAAAATGTCGGCAGTCGTGTCAGTTCTATCTAAATGTCAAGACAAAATCGGTTCAGGATACTTATCTGCTTTCCCCTCGGAGTTCTTCGATCGATTTGAGGCTGTGCAGCCTGTTTGGGCTCCTTATTACACCATTCACAAGGTAACGATTCCTTGTTCCATGGCTGCTTACCCACATGGGAAGTGAATTTTGCTACTCTCAAGTTCATTTGATTGATCCAAATCCTGGGTTTTCCAGATCATGGCAGGTCTTTTTGATCAGTACATGTTTGCCAACAATGCTCAAGCTCTCAAGATGGTAACATGGATGGCTGATTACTTCTATGGCCGTGTCCAGAATGTTATAACCAAGTATACAATTGAGAGACATTTTCGGTCTCTGAATGAAGAAACTGGAGGGATGAATGATATCCTCTACAAATTGTACAGCGTAACGGTAATATTAAAATGATGGATTGTGCTGATGATTCTCTCTTTTGATTTTATTGCTGTAATGCTCTTATCAAAAAACATCTGCTACAGTTTGCTATAAGTCACAGTTGCTGAACTGCATACTTTTACAGTGTGACTTGCTGGTCTCTGAGTATATGCCTCTTTGTTTTCGTTCATGTAGGGAAATCCCAAGCATTTGTTGCTGGCTCACCTTTTTGACAAGCCATGCTTCCTTGGCCTGCTTGCAATCCAGGTTGTTTTTCCTTTTCCTTTTTTCTTTTTGTAGTTATTGCTTTACATTATAGACAAGAAGAGTTTGAAAAGTATATTGAGCTTATAGAGCATGAGTTTTCTCTTTTCGTTTCAGGCTGATGACATATCTGGTTTTCATGCAAATACTCATATCCCAATAGTTATCGGAGCACAAATGCGCTACGAACTCACTGGTGATACACTTTATAAGGTGATCAATTGCTTGTTCGGTTGTCCCATATGATTCTCACT